TTTAATTACAAAAGGTTTGCCAACTTTTTTCATAATCCAATCAGGAACACGCAACATTATAACAACCGATTACTATAGAACAACAAACAAAATAATTACATCAATTGTTGTCTTTGTTTTAGAAAGAGTTTAACGGCACTTGCAACACAATTAGGTCAAATAGGTGAAAATAAGAGGCGTTACAAGAGAGTAAGAATCCCGAAAAAAGAAGGAAAAGAGATAAAAAGATCGATGTTTCAATCAGAAAGAAGGAGCAAACCACACCAGAGCACCCGCCAACCACCCACTTACATCAAGTGAGACTCGTTTTAGAGTCATGTATGCGATAAGGCTCGCAAAGTTCCTGTCTGCCTTATCCTCATGACACAGACACAGGAGTGACGTGGTAGTCTTGTACAGGTGGTTGTTATGGACAGTGTCACTATAATATTAAACAACACAAGGGGGGAGAGGGAAGTGGTCGTTTGTACATAATATGATTGTCTTGGACAGGTGGCCATATGAGCTGGTTGAACTGTAGGCTTACATGTAAGTATAAAAATGTATAATATCAACATTTTCAAAAATATATATACTAAAAAAAACACACACACACAAAAACGAGAGAGCTACTGAGTTATCCTTTCCCCCCTGAGTCTGTACAAACATTGCTCAAGCAAGAATTTTCGGCTGGGACATTTCAGTGACCCATGTTCAGCACTTTTCAAGGACCCCCAGCGAGTGTTGAGTTCCTGCTGACTGCTTATAAAGACGCCACAGCGCCAGGAGAGAGAGAGAGAGAGAGAGAGAGAGAGAGAGAGACAGAGAGAGACAGAGAGAGACAGAGAGAGAGAGAGCAAGCATTTTATGGCATTCGCAACACAGGACATATGAATGCTGAAGATTACAGGTGTTACAAGAAAGAACAAACAAAAAAAAGCAGGAGGAGAGATATATAAGGATAATAGATGATTGATAAGAAAGAAGGAGCAAACCGCAGAAGAGCATCCACCAACCACCCATTAAGTACAAACAACAACAACAGCCTCACTCACCAGGGGGGGACACATGGCCACAGCATCAGCTCAGACGGGGAGGGGGGGGGGGGGGGGGAGAAATGAACAGACCACACCACAGCACCTGTCAACCACCCACAGTTACAGGACAGACGTGGGGAATACAATTTAGTTTTAGTAAGAGTTTTACGGCACTTGCAACACCATAAGGTCATATAAGTGCCGAAGATTAGAGGGGCTACAAGAGAGTAACAAACACAAAAAAGAAGGAGAGATCAGGAAATAGATGTTTGATAGGAAAAAAGGAGCAAACCACAACAGAGCATTCGTAGACCACCAACGGGACATTCAGGAACACATCACATAAACAGCCACACAGAAAGACATATGGTCTGAATTCTGGTCCATCCTCTTTTGTTTCTTTCTGAGTTTCATCTACATAAATCTTCAACTAAAACAGCCTTCACAAAACAAAAAGCGTCTTTTTTTTTCCCCTTTAAATTGACCTCTTTGTCCGACTCTACACCTTAACAAACGAGAACTTCAAGCAAAAGGTAAGTACACATCTCCTGAACATACAAATAATTATTCTTTCACAATAGTTTTGTGACTTCACGACAATAGCTTGAATTTACCTAAACTTCAGCCGAGTCATTTTCTAAAAGGACGGACAACTGAGTGAAAACATGTGTAGGGGGGAATGATCAGTATGTGACCGCACTGTACATCAAAACTCCTCGGAACGGCCCAAAAACTCGTAGAAAAAGCATCACAATAACTGACAAACGAAAAACAATATCACAGCAGCGCAAACACTTTACATTTCAAAAAATTCAAGCCACGGCAAATTGTAAAATTTGAGTAAAGAGAAGCACAACCACGCAATATCATTCATTAAGGGCTAAAATAACAATAAGACGAACGTACAGAAAATAGAAAGAGAAAGAAAAGAAGTAAACATAACCAGGGGGTGCCTTACACCACCCGCTACATTATTATTGTAAACTCTGAGGAACAACAAGAGAAAATACATAACAATAATAAATTGTACTTGTACAGTGCATATCCCCGCTCAACAGTAAGCTCCACGTACTTTACACAATATAAGATAAATCAAACAAAAAAACAACTGGACATTTCTCAGAAAACGAGTTTGAATTAATGACAACATGTTGAGTTAACATTAACTCTTGAGTACAGTCGGCAACAGTTTAGAAAGAATAGACAATTACATTACTCATACAAAGAGTTAAGAAATGCCAAGACGTATCCATACATCCCAAAAGGAAAAAAGAGAAGAGAAAAAGGAAAATTGCATAATCATGGACCAGAGAGTAACTATTTGTGCATAAATAGAAACTTTGTGCAGAATCACTCCACTGGGACATCTCTCTCTCTCTCTCTCTCTCTCTCTCTC